ATCAAAATACTAACAGTATACCAAATTAGCATTATATTACAAATACTAATGGCGTACCAAAATAAAAACACTAACAGTATACCAAACAGTATGCCCAGACCACCTACAGCATATTAAAAAAATAAATGAATAAAAATAAAAATAGAAAGACAAGAAGCGGCCTGTTTTCATCACGAAAAAGCTTCCTGAAACCTCAAACCAAATCTAAAAAATAAGACAAAAGAAAAAATAAATAAAAAAAATAAATAAAAAAAATAAATAGAAATTAAAGAGTAAAGAAACAAGAAAAGACAACAAAAATAATAATAAAATGATAATAATAAAAAAGATATATATATATCAAATAGACAGAAAGCTAGAAATGAAAGACAGAAGCAAAAAGAGACAAAATGAAAAGAAAAAGGAAGCCAAAACAGAAACAAGAGCAAAAAAAATACAGAAAACCAATACAAAGAAAGAAAACGAAAAAGAACGAACGAATAAAAACATAAATAAATAAAAAATAAATAAATAAAAAGACAATAAAACAAAACAGAACAAAAGAGAAAAACAAAGTAAAGAAAACAAACAACATTAAACCAAAAACCGAAGAGAAAAAAAAGCGTCCAAACAAACAAACAAAAACAAACGAAAACAACACCCCCACAAGATATAAACAAATAAAAAATAAAGTAAATAAAATCTTCCACTAACCTGAAAAGACTCGAAAACAGCGACCTCGTCCGTATCCGTGTTCGACCACGACTTCGGAATCACGATGCGCACGTCCCTGAAGAAGGCCCTGCGGCGGGTGGCGGTAAAGAGAACCTCAGAGGCGTTCTTGATCATTTCCTGCAAGAGGGAGGGAAGTCAGAGGTCGTCCTTGAAGGTGGGAGGGGGGGTTGGGGGGTCTGAAGGCGGAGGGAAGCGAATCCGGCGGGCTCAGGGTGGTGAGGTGGGGGGGGAGGGATATCGGTGAATTATTGTTGTTGTTGTTATTTTATTATCATTAACACTATTATTATTATTCCCATTATTATTATTATCATTATTATTGTCATTGTTATTGCTATAATCATCATTACCATTATTATCATTATCATTTTCGTTATCCTTATTATTTTCATTATAATTATGATTATCCTCCTCCTCCTCAGTTATTATCATCTTCATTGTTATCACTATAATATTATTATTATTGTTGTTGTTATCATTATCATCATCGTTATTAGAATTATTGTTATTATTACTATTAACACTATCATAGTTGTGGTTGTTATTGTCATTGTTGAAATTAAGTATTTATTAATTACACTCACTAATTATCTTTAAAAGATGTAATTATAAAGCCAACAAGGATTTTTTTTTTTTTACCAATTTAAGAAGTTAATACTATTTTTTGCTTACCAAATACCACCAGTGAAAAATTTCTTTGATTGCCTTTTTACTTCCAAATTTTGTAAAATAATCAAGACTTTTGAATTTTAAAATATCCCATGTAATATCATAAACTCTCTTCCCTACTTCCTTTCCTATTACTATCTCAGCCTTGTCCTCTCCTTTCATTGCTTCAATACATCTTTCTTTCTCATTATATCTGTCTATCTGTCTGTTTGTTTATGTCTCTATCTGTCTCTCTCTCTCCCATTTTCTCATTCTCTTTTTCTCTTCAACTTCTCCCTCACCGTATCTTTCTCTCAATGTCTCTCTCCCTCACTATCTCCCCCACTCCTACCCCCCCCCCCTTTCTCTCCCTCCCTCCTTTCATTCCTTTCTCTCTCTCTCCCTCCCTCTTCTTTTCCCCACGCTTTCTCTCTCTCCCCATCCACACCTCCCAGCATCCCTCCTACTCCTTCTCATCCCATCCCTCACCCTCCCTCTCCCTCCCTCTCACCCCATCCCTCTCCCTCCCTCTCACCCCATCCCTCGCCCTCCCTCTCACCCCGTCCCTCTCACCCCGTCCCTCTCCCTCCCTCTCACCCCGTCCCTCTCCCTCCCTCTCACCCCATCCCTCTCCCTCCCTCTCACCCCGTCCCTCTCCCTCCCTCTCACCCCGTCCCTCTCCCTCCCTCTCACCCCATCCCTCTCCCTCCCTCTCACCCCGTCCCTCTCCCTCCCTCTCACCCCATCCCTCTCCCTCCCTCTCCCTCCCTCTCACCCCGTCCCTCTCCCTCCCTCTCCCTCCCTCTCACCCCGTCCCTCTCCCTCCCTCTCACCCCATCTCCCTCCCTCCCTCTCACCTTGATGGCGGGTATGAGAGCGGCTCCCTCACTCTCGGGCAGACTCGGAGAGATGCCGATCACCAGGTTCTCGTAACCGTTGTTGACGAGTTCTACGCGAGAGGAAGCGCCGATCCCCGCCGGCAGGAGACACGCGACGAGGAGGAGGACCGAGAGGGACGGCGCCGAAGGTGACGAGAGCGCCCTTCGTCTCATGGTCTCTGTTGGCGCTTGAGGGTTTTTCCTGTAAATTACGAACGCAGAGTGGATTGGGGGAGGAGGGTTCTGTGTCGGGGAATTATTTTGATTTAACTTTTTGCACATCGCATGAGAAGCGGTGTCGCCAAGAGGAGCGGAAAGCTGGAATAACCAGGACGAGATTCCGTAAAACTAAGGTATTTAGACTCCTTCCTCAAACACGAAAACGCCAAATGATGAAATGAAAATTAGACCAACCAACAGTGGCTTCCTTTCAACGGACTGCCAGCAGGCCTCGGGACGGGAGAACGATCCGACGGTCTATTCGCGACGGATGCCCGAGCTTTACTAAACGTCGGGGCATTCTCACCCGGCGAAGTAACCTCGGTCTCTCTCTCGGGTGTTTACGCGTCCCTCTGTTAAAGCCGTGACAGAATCATGTTACTGGACTTTCTGTCATGTTGTCCGTCTGCTGTCATGACTCACGGTCCTGTGTCATTTCCCATAACAGTTCCTATTATATCCTTTTTTAAATCTATGTGTTTGTTTGTTTATTTATTTATCTATTTCTATTTGTTTTTTAAAGTATTAATGTGTTTTTAAACTTTCTTGCGCCATTTCCTTTTATGGCATTTAAATGGGGTGCTGTTATGTATTGAAACTGCATTGCCTCTCTTATAAATCGTACGCTTTTTGTTTGCCTCTCTTTGCTTCTCTCTCTCTCTCTCTCTCTTTCTCTCTCTCCCTCCCTCCCTCCCTCCCTCCAGCCCTCCCTCTCTCCATCCATCCCTCTCTCTCTCTCTCTCTCTCTCCTTCCCTCCCTCCCTCCAGCCCTCCCTCTCTCCATCCATTCCCGCCCCCCCCTCTCTCTCCCTCTATCCCACCCTCCCTTCTTCCCTCTCCCTCTCTCCCTCCCTCCTCCTCTCTCCTTCCCACCCTCCCTCCTCCCCTCTCCCTCTCTCCTTCCCTCCTCCCCTCTCCCTCTCTCCTTCCCTCCTCCCTCTCCCTCCCTCCTCCCCTCTCCCTCTCTCCCTCCCTCCTCCCCTCTCCCTCTCTCCCTCCCTCCTCCCCTCTCCCTCTCTCCCTCCCTCCTCCCCTCTCCCTCTCTCCCTCCCTCCTCCCCTCTCCCTCTCTCCCTCCCTCCTCCCCCCTCCCTCTCTCCCTCCCATGTTTTCCTCCCTCTTAAAAAATGATTAACAAGAGCAACGTTTATTTGACCAACCAGATGTGTTGCGTCTTGTGTTACTTGAGGATTTCCCCTCGAGATGGCCTTGGCCCTCGCTCCGTCTCCCCTCCTCCCTCCCTTGTCTTTTCCTCCTCCTCCTCCTCCTCCTCCTCTGTAGCCGCTGGTATATCATGTACTTCATATCAGCAGCTGGTATATCATATATTTCGTTTATCACGTATTCTGTAACAATACGGAGAGGCCTGTATGGTATAAATTTATCTTCTGTGTCATAACCGCTGGGAAGGCGACGGCGAGTACCACCGGGTCAACACATGGTCTGTATCAGCCGTAAGAGCTGACCTGTCAAGAAACGTGTTTGTGTGAGGGGTCGTGCCATAGGAAGTGGTGACGGCTCTTCAGATGATCGATGCTGTGAGATAGCAAGACCGCGACCTAACTAATGTATAACATGTGAAGTAGAATGTTACTTGGCGTCGTAGCCTGTGTATGTTTATAGTGTGAGGGCAGTTCGAGGGGAACCTCTGTGCCGTCGAGACGCCCATACCATTCTGGAATCAGACCAATAAGCTGATATTCTGACTATTCCCGCAATGCGTATGTATCCAATATTTGTAGGAAGTTCTTATTATATAATCTAATGTCTAACGTGTGCTGATATTTAGTGACTTTGTATATTGTGTGCATTTGTACAATCGATGTATTATTTAACAGGTTTGACCGCTACTGAATAAACTTTGAGCGAGTGCTACGCAGTGGTATCAGTCACCCATCGACAAAATCATAGGCGTGCTCCGGCGGCCACATCCTCCATCGTCCCTTCTTCCTCCTCCTCCTACTTCTTCTCCTTCTTCTTCTCCATTTCCGCATTGCTTTGTCTTTTTCTTCTTCTTCTTTTTTTTTTTTAGTTGTTGTTTATTCTTTTCCTCCTTCTTACCTCTTTCTCCTCGTCATCTTTCCTATTTCCCGCCTTCTTTTTTTTCTTTTCTTCCCCCCTTCTCTCTCCCCTTCCTCTTTCTCATATATAATCCGCCTTTCTCCCCTTTCTTTTGGGGCCCTCTCCTCTCCCCCCCTTCTTTCTTTTCCTCCTTCCCCCCCTTATCTCCTTCATTCTCTCTTTTCCTCCTTTCTCCCCCTTCTCCCCCTCCATTCCTTCTTTTTCCGCTTTTCTCCCCCTTCTCTCGCTCTCTTCTTTCTTTCCTACTTCACTGTTCCTTCTCTTCGTCCCTCCTTCTTTCTCTTCCGCCTTTCTCCCCCTCCCCTCCCTTCCCCATTCTTTCTTTCCCGCCTTTCTTTCTCCCCATCCTCTCCCACCCCTTTCTTTCTTTTTCGCCTTTCTTCCCCTTTTCTTTCGTCTTATTTCTTGTTCGCCTTTGTTTCTCCATCTCCTCTCCCTCCCCCTTCATTCTTTCCCTCTTTTCTCCCCCTTCTTTCTTTTCCGCCTTTCTCCCCCTTCTCTCCCTCTTCCCTCTTTCTTTTCCGCCTTTCTCCCCCTCGTCCCCCTTTCTTTTCTTTCTTTTCCGCTTTCCCCCCTTCTCTCCCTCCCTCCTTCTTTCTCTTCCGCCTTTCTCCCCTCCTCTCCCTCCTCTCGTCCTCGCCCGCATCCGCACTGTCATGGAGCGGGAACGTTCACGGCACATGAGGTAATCAAGATAGGAAAAGAAAATGTTTACTCGATTATGATTATTTATTCAGTGAGGACACAGGCGAGGTATCAGTCCCCCTCTCCCTCGCCTCCTTCGCCCCCTTCCTCGCCTCCTTCGCCTTCCTCGCCCTTCCTTCACCCGCTCCCTCGCCTCCTCCCCCCTTCCTCGCCTCCCTCGTCTCCTTCCCCCTTCCTCCGGCCCCTCCCTCGCCCTTCCTTCACCTCTTTCGTCCCCTTCCTGGCCCCCTTCCCCCTTCCTTCGCCTCCTTCGCCTCCTCCCTCGCCTCCTTGGCTCGCTCGCTACCAGGGCTGCTGCGGCCTTCAAGTCATTCGATCCCCGTCAGTCCTTCCGCCAAGCCGTTAGGTCCCCGTCGCTGATTTCTACTGCCTCACGATGCAAGCCTCACGTTATTACGCTTGTTTATATTCATATATTATCATTATCTATATCATTATTTATATTCATTATTATCATATGTTCGTATATATATATATATGTATATATATATATATATGTATGTATATATATATACAGACACACAAACACAAATAAACATACATACATATATATATGTGTGTGTGTGTGTGTGTGTGTGTGTGTGTGTGTGTGTGTGTGTGTGTGTGTGTGTGTGTGCGTGCTTGTATGTATGTATATATATATACGCACACAAAAACACAAATATACATATATACATACATACATACATATATATATATAGATAGATATAGATATAGAAACATATATGTGTGTGATTACTGCAGTACGTAAGCTTCTCCCAGCGTGTTCTAATCCCTCCGATCTTTCGTTCTTGTTTCCAGCTTCGACCCCTGAATGTCGTTATTTCGTCACGCCAAATCCTCGGTGGCCTGACCCTTGGCCTCCTCGTGTTACAGTCTGTTACTTTCTTTGTCCATCTGTCCCCTATGTATGCGATCTGCTCATTGTTCTCTATTCTCTGTTCTCTGTTCTCTGATCGATGTTGCCCTCATTCTGTCTCGTAGGCTGCTCCCTAGCATCAACCTTTCCATTGCTCTCGGGAGGATGCATCTGTAAAAAAAGAAAATTCTCTTTAAACATAATGACAAGGAACCTCTTAATAGGATGCTATGTCTGCCGAATTCGTCTCTTGGTTTTCTTTTCTCTGTATGATTTCTGTAAGTGTTAATACACGTCCATTTTTCCGACTCTTCATCCTGTACAGGTACCTGTTCGAATTAAGCTCGACTGTTGAACGTAACTTTAGTCTTTTTCCTGTTCATCTCAAGTCCAGTTTTCGGCCTTTTTATGTTCAGAACTTTTTTTTATTAACTGTTGCCGTTCATTTAGTGACTTGCTGAGGAGAACAATATCGCCCGTAAATCTTAGATTGTTTATATGCTCGCCCCTCATTTTGACACTCATTTCCCTTCCATCTAGCTTTCTGAATATTTCCTTAAGACAAGCTGTAAATATTTTCGGTGAGATGGTGTCACCCTGTCTAACATCATATATATATGTTCAACAGCTATTTATTGCACTGCAGGATCTCGGCCTTCCTAATCAACCGCAGTTCAGCGCGTTACCACTTCTGCCACGGCAGTGACTTCCCCTACGACACCTGTGCTTGAATTCTCAAGGCGATATATCGTTTTCTCGCTGTGAGATCCATCGTATACCCTTTTTGTGTATTAAAGTTATTGTCGCATTTTCCCAGGCTTTCGGAATTTTAGCGTTGATAAGGTATATGATAAAAAGATTGTATAAATTCACTGCTGTAATTTCTCCTGCATCTATAGGCAATGTCATCTTCCCCTGCTATCGAGTGCTCTTCTTTATATCCTCTCTTTTGACGTTAGGTCTCTCTCTATTTCCTGTGTTTACTTCTTTCCGTAGTTATTCACTGGAGCTGTAAACCTCTCTGTTAAAGTCTTCCACTACTGTAAAAAAATAATTTTGTTATATGTCACCTTTTATTTTTGGAGTCAGAGAGAGTCCTCCATGTCCAGTTCCTTTCTAGTCCTTTTTTTTCGAAAAATGTATTCAAGAGCCTCCGGAAAATATATTAGCATTTGTCGTCTCGCATTTCTGGTGCCTACAACGTGGTTGCCAACTGAGGTTTATCCTTTTGCTTTACTTGGCATTAAAATCTCTTATTACTATTGTGAAATGGGTATGCGTTCAATCACTGGCTAAATGAACACCTTCATCGCTCATAGTAGATGAGGTGTATAGGCTAGGTCAGTGATAATAAGTACTAAAAATTACATGCTGTAATATAGTGGGGAGGACGTACCCCCACTTCGATGGGACTGGTTGGATTCTTGATGTATTGGAGTTAAAGTCTTCGTAGATTCCCTCGGTGACAAGGCGTCTGTGTCGACTATTCAGAAATTGGGTCGGATTAGCGTGTCCTGAGGTCTCTTCGTCATTGTCACGGTTGTTGACCTGTTGGATTCAGCGGAAGATAGTGGAATTACTGTAAAAAGAGGAAGTATATAGTTTTTTTCTGGTATTTGAGGCGAAAGAGATCACAAGACCAGGCCACTATACATTTCGTTAGTGAGCAGTAATTGTGCTACATAAGAAAGAAACATTTAT